TGCGGGAGGCTGGATTTAACCCGTAGGGCAGTTTGCTATCAACCATACCAAAAAAAGTTAAATTACTAATAGATTACAGTGATTGCTGTTTGTGTGCCGCAGACAGTGCATTTCCTTACAGGGTTATACTTACCCTGTACGTAAGAGGCTGTTACTCCTTCTCCCTCTGTATTTCCTCTAACAGATAAGTGACCCAAGGCTAGGTTAAATAATCTGCCAAAACTCACACAGCCGGTAGAATTCAGATGCTGGGCTTTCTAATCCCAGATCCTGTCTTCTTCATTGCTAGCAATGTTGAAAATTTTGGTAGTGTTCTTTATTTGTGGTTGAGTTTAGGCTAATCATATTTGATAAAGAAAGAAAAGCAGTGTGTATGATTCATCTTCGTAGCAGCTCTGTTCACAGTGTTTCACAGGGAATTCACCCCGCCATGTAAGCGTGGTCAGTGTGATGTCCTAGTCTCCTCTTAGGTAGCTGGCAAAAGCACTCCACTGACCAGCTGAAGTGATGCCTTTTCTGTTCACATCTGATTTTTTTTTTAAACCGGGAATCGAACTCAGGACCTTGCACTTGCCAAGCAAGGCGCTGTGCCGCTGAGCTACATCACCCTCCCCTCCCATCTGATTTCTGGCGGTAGCGCTTCCCATGCTCGAAGCATCCCCTGTGCTGTTATACCAGCCCTACCCAACGTGTTGCAGTTTCCCCTTTCCTGAGATGGCCCGTTACTTTCCCCCTCTGTGGAAACTGAACTTACTGTCCCGATGCTCAGTGTCTAAAGAGCTAGATAAGGAATTTGCTTTGTTTCGTTTGTTTGGAGATAAGGTTGGGGATCAACTGAAAGGGGAATGGCAATGGGAATTTTTAGCCCTTTTCAAAGCTCCTTTAAATAGGCGGTTTTAATTCCTGACAGCGTGTCAGTGTTGATTTCACTCTACTCACACGGTGGGCCCTTGACTTATGAACCCAATGCGTTCCTGAGGGCTGGTTGGTTGTCCACTGAAGGCTCGGGCTCCTCCGCGCAGCCCTCAGAGTGTCTCTGTGTACAGGCAGATCTCGGTGTCCTCAGAGAGACATTGGCCCAGGATTTCTCGGCTAACCCCATACAACAAAGGGTGTTGCGATGTTCCTTCCGGAACTCTGAGGGTTAAATCTGTGTCCGAGCCCATCTGGGAGCACAAGCTACCGGCATTCAGATCATAACTCAAGACTTTGGTCGTAAGTTAAAACTGAAATCTGGGTCATAACCTAAGTTGTTCGCGTGTTAAGCCAGTTGTAACTCGAGGGTCCGCTGGGTTTGTCCCTCAGTGCGTGCCATGAGAAAGCCTCTGGATGAAGTGTTTAAGCGACGGCATCTGCGTGAGGCTAAGGCATCTGTCTTTGTTTGTGTGTTAAGGTTACAAGAACAGCAAATCGCCCAATAGCCGCCGGAGACATTTCAGCCTTTCAGTCCTTGGTTTTTCTCGGGGGACAGCTGACCATGGCACTGGGTGTTCTTCTGTGTCTGAATCATTACAGGTATATTACATGTGTTTTTCGTGAGCATACATAGACTCTCCTTTGAGATGGAGAAAGTGAGAATAAAGTAAAATAGAAAAATCTTTATCACCAAAATTGCTTATTGGCTGCCTATCCAGGATCTGTAAGTTACAAGGCCTAAATACGTTAATGCACTGCACACTAAAATCTGCCCCAAGAATACCTTCAGCCAGCCAGGCACGGTGCCACACACCCAGTAATCCCAGCATTCTTGGGGGAGACTGAGGCGGGATTATTTCAAGCTGGAGCCCAGCCTAGGCAACTTAGCAAATTAGTGAGACCCTGTCTCAAAATTTTAGAAATAAGAGAGGTACTGGGGATGTAGCTCAGCGAGAAGACCTGGGTTCAATCGCAAGTGCTGCAAAACAGAACGACAGTGCCAGCAAAGCCCACGGTGCTTTCAGCTGAGAGTTAAGAGGTGAATACCGAATGTGTTCTGAACCACATTTGCATGTTTGTGTTTTGTGTCCCCTAAGGGACGCAGGCTTCTTCAAAGGCTAAGTTTGCATGTGCTGTATGTGCATGTGTGTGCGCGTGCGTGCACGCGCATGTGTATACACTCTATGCTGGGGGTTATCTCTAAAATGCAGAGAAGCACGAGCAAGTAGACTCATTTTTCAGAAAGAACTATGTTCTTCCCCTGGCTGGAACCACTCAACGATGGGCCAGGTATCTAGTCAGTGACAAGGGGAAAACAGGAGCGCCCCTTCCTGTACCTCTTAGACAGGTACAACTGCACTTTTGTGCGACTGCCACCTGTTTACCACGGGCTCAAGGAGGGAAAAAAGACAAAGCTGGGAGGGGCTGTCAGCAAATGAGCCTGACTGTAGAGTTGAGGCTCACCCAGGCCGTGTGCCGGCAGCCGGAATAACCCGAGAACCCCCCTGGGAGCTGCTTCTGGGCGTGCTGTGAGCTGGAGTGCAGGAACTGAAGAGCATCTTAGGTCGGCTGCGCACCCTTTCCTGAGAACTGACTCCCCCCAGGAGTAAAGGAGTTCTCCTGGGACGCCTTGTCTGCTAGACGCTTAGGCTTGGGATGGCTTAAAGAGGCTGTGTGGGGCCAGCGAGGTAGCTCAGTGCAGCGCCTGCCTGGCAAGCGTGAGGTTCTGAGTTCGATTCCCAGCGCCCCCACCAAAATAAAGAGGCCGTGTGTGGTGGTCAGCAGGCTGGACTCTGGGTCTCAGTCTCAGCTCGGCTACAAAAAAGCTGTGTGACAGCAGTGAATTACTTCATCTCATCGGCAAAGAGGAAGCAGAGTAAAACTGCCTGGGTCCTGGGCTGTCGTGAAGACGGTGATGAGCCAGCTATTACTTTGTTTGGTAGTTTAGTCAACATACAATACTTTTCTAGTCATCCCTCATAATAGGAAAAGCGGAAGTGCAGAGTTAGACTTTCCGTAACAAAAGCCATTATTTAAGATTTTTAAAATAGTATTACAGTGTCTTCCTGTATTCAGTGCTTCCCAAGTGATGGCGACATTCACCCTGCTTTTCCTGTTTGCAGTATAGCTCTGGGAGCATCGTCGTTGCTTCTCGTCATCACCTACCCGCTGATGAAGAGAATCACGTACTGGCCTCAGCTAGCCCTGGGTGAGCTGGAAACAACTATTTCCTTCGACTTTTCTATGTTATATATGTATATGTTTGTGGACTGTCCTGAAGTGTTCCAAACCAAGAATATTCATGAAAGGGGCCAAGTAGTCATTCTTCTTTGCTAGGAGTTCTTGCATACCTTTCCATGATTATCATTGTGGTGTTTTCATAGTGCTTTTGAGAGATCTAGGCGTGTCATGAGAAAGGGTTAGTCAAGGGACCCTGAAGGGTAGGAAGCACTGCCGGGTGGGCAGCTGCCTCCCCTTCTGTGCCTTCCTCAAAGAAGTCCATCTGGGGCTTCCCATGCCCGTTTTAACAGCGTTAGGCCCACCTCCTGGTCTCTCCAGTAGTAATGTGTGAGTGACTGAAAGAGAAGCACCCTTTGTATGTGGCCCGGCATCTGCGCAGATACTTAATACAGTAATTGCTGGTGAAGAGGGGTGGATAGGTAAGGAAAATTTATTAGGGAAGTATCTGCTCCCTGACTCCTTTATCCTGTTTCTAGAAGATGGTAGAATAGTCCTAACGTGATTCTGGTGAGCCACTAGTTGATAAAAGGGCAAAAACAGTCCAGGAAACTGAGCCTGGCTTGCAGGAAAGTTGTGAGGGAATGTGTATCCTTTCCTGAGACCTCCCATTGGATACTCTTGTCATTGTTACTTAAAAAAAAGTGAAAATTTACATTCTTAACTGACCTGGGAATATTGTGGTAAGAGGAAGACATGCAGTTCCAGACTATAAGATAATATTGAAAAACTGGTATACTTAATGCAAACATGTATTGAACCTCTACTTTTATGTTGTGTCAGGAATTGCACTGAGTACTTGGGAGACAAAAAGGATGATGGCACATTGACCATCTCTAAGGAGCTAGAGGAGACAGCAGATCTGGAGGCCATTGGAACGCCCCATGGCGTGACAAGTGCCCGGGAGCTCAGAGGAGAGGCACTGAGGCGGCCGAGGGCAGCTATCCAGAAAAGGGAAAGAGGGCTTAGGAGAGAAGGCATGGGGCACGTTGAGTTTAAGGTGCCAGAGGGCCTCATGGGAAGGGTGGTCCAGCCGGAAGCTCCGTCTCCCATCTGGAGCCTGCAGGAGGAGACTGGGGAGTTGTCACCACGAGGGCATTTCCCCACAGTCCTCAGGAGACAGGCCTGTAGGTTGTGAACATGTTCCTGTCCATTTGTAGATGAGTCCGTGGGTCTGAGCTCCAGCCCCAGTGCCACCACCACCTATGGCCGAGCCAAACGCAGTCGGTGGGATGTGTGTTCTGTTTACCTCAGCAGGCAGTGCCCTTGCTAGCTGAGTAAACTCAGCCCATTTCCCCTCTTGCAAGATGGAACGAATGGACTAAGACTTCATGGAGCTGGTGGTGCACAGCCCACCCCGCCCCGCAGGGGCAGCGCCGTACCTGGTGACAGCCCCCTTCCCTTGGAACCCACCGTCCACCCAGCTTCCCTCTGTGTCCCCCTGCAGGGCTGACGTTCAACTGGGGCGCGCTGCTTGGCTGGTCGGCCGTGAAGGGCTCCTGTGACCCATCCGTGTGTCTGCCTCTCTACTTCGCTGGGGTCATGTGGACACTGATCTACGATACCATTTATGCCCATCAGGTGAAGAGTACTACGTCTTCTAACTTGGGTTTGGATGTTGTTTTATAAGAACTGTTCAGTAAGAGCCAAACAAGGGGAAGGACTTCTTTCCTAAAAAGAAAGTCACAATTCCTGACCCCTGCAAAATTGTTATTTCGTGTTTATCTCTGTTTATCAAAGAGTTGAACTCATTTATTCTATTTTATTTTCAAGCATTTAAGTAATATTTACAGTACACCAGGCACTGACTTGCCTTTGTTTTAAATATTTTGCAAATACTGATTTACTCCCCATAGGAGCGTGCAAGGAAGATACTTTCATTATCCCCATTTTACAGATGAGACATGGGGAGAAGTGACTTAACCTCATCACATAGTAGGTGGCAGGGCTGAGGTTCAGCCCCGGGCCCCAGCACCCCATGCTCCCCTGTCCCTCTGTGCTGCCTCTGACCATTTCTCTGGGCAGCTTTCTCATGTGGGCTAGGTAATAAACACTTTTCCTTATTTTTACTGATATCTTGCCGTTGTCCCTTTAAGACTGCATAATAGTTCACGGTCTTAGCATGCCGTAATTATTTCAAATTAACAACACGTCCATGGAAGTTGTTTGTGAGTTTTCATGATCACAAATAGTATAATTCTGATCACTAGCATTTCATGAGTATGAGTTTTTCAGTCAGTACAGTCCAGAATACAAAGTGTAGCTCCTGGGAGAGACCAGGTAGCTGGGTGGGAGTCCCCATCCAGACTAGCTGTGTAAGGGGGGTGGGGGGAGGGCGGGGTAAGTTGGGCAAGAAGTGGCGGTGGATGGATGTGGGTGAGTGCTGAGTGAGCACGTTAGACACCTGCGGTTTTAGCAGGCTTGAAACTGCAGTGGGCCAGAAGTTAGGGAGACTTGAGGACTCCAAGGTAGGAGGGAGCTGTGTGATAGGAGCTGAGCTCCCGTGTCACCTGCGTCCCCAGCGGCCTAGGATGCAGAGACAGCACGGCGGTGGGGTGGAGCAGGCTGAGGGTTTCCGCAGCAGTGAGCCCCTCTGCCAGGCCTGCCATCTCTCGCTGCTTGGTGTGTCCGCCTGTTCTAAAAAGACCATTTCTTCGCAGTTAGATAGCAGTGACAGTTCCGCACCTCGGGACCATCTGAATGCCACCAGATTACGCGCTTACAAGTACAAACTGTGTGGTCTGAGGGTTCGCTCATAAAACAGTTTCTTATTACTTCCTGCTGTCAGGACAAGAGAGACGATGCTCTGCTCGGCCTCGGGTCCACGGCGCTGCTATTCCGAGAGGACACCAAGTGGTGGCTGGGCGGCTTCAGCGTGGCCATGCTGGGGGCCTTGAGCCTGGCGGGCGCGAGCTGCGCCCAGACCCCGCCCTACTACGCCGCGCTGCTCGCCGTCGCCGCCCACTTGGCGCACCAGGTTTGGCCGTTTCCTTCTTTGTCGCTCCTTTTTCCTTGGCGTAGGTGGTGTGTGCAGAATGCTGCTCTTGCTTGCTGGGCAAGGAACTTAACTTCAAAACTTGCCCTGTGTTGAACTTCCCTTCCCCGCATCCAACTTGTCACTAAAAGGCTGTGTTTTTGTTCCGTTTTGTTTTCTTTTTGAGACAAGGTTCCACTATGTAGTTCAGGCTGGCCTTAAACTCACTTTGTAGCCCACCTGACCTCGAACTGGCAGTGATCCTCTGCCTCAGCCTCCCAAGTGCTGGGATTACAGGTGTATGTCACCACACCCAGCCAAAGCTGTGTTATTTTAAATAAACAATATAAACCTAAGCCTGGATGTCCCCTTCAGTTTTCCTGGAGTTCCTTTTCATGTCTCTGGAAAATTTTCAGTAGTGTCCAAAACAATGTCTAGGTTAAGTTGAGATACTTTTTTTTTTTTTTAAGAAAAACTTGGGTGTTTTGGTTTGTTTTTTAAACGAAATCTGAGTTTCTGGTTATGATTAACAAACTAACCTTTCAGAAGGTTGGTTTCCACTGGCATAGAAAGCAGCGCCAGATAAGATATGAAACAAAATGTTAAACACGGCAAGGTGAAGGTGCTGCCTGGAAGGCAGGAAGTGGTGATTCCAGGCGTTCACCCAGCGCTGCATCCCTTCCCCCACAAGCCTCTGTGACTGACTTGTAAAATGAATGACTAAATCTAATTCTGAGTAAATCAGAGGGGATGGACTGATTTTGTAGGAATGTTGCTGGTATTTTCTTTGAATAGAATCAGAAAGGTGTTAGTGAACCTGTGTATAGCTGACCTACGGTGGTACCTCAGATTCCTTCCACAGTTCTGGAAAAGATGGCCACATTCAGGTTCCTGCAGGAAAAGTAGCTTTGGTGGTGTTCAGCACCCGGTGCAGATCTCACACACAAAAACAAAATTTTACCAAACGTTTCTGTTTGTGAGCCAAATTGTAAACGAAAGCATTTGTGGACTGAGGTAGCGTTCTACGTTACCCAGATTTTTGTAAAGTATGCAACACTGTAGGCCGGACCAGTCACAGGGTATGAGGGAGACTAGAGTCGGGTAGGCTGCATTCGCTGCGCCGTGTCCTCACCACAAACGCTAAAGGTATGAGTCGGTGGTTCCCTGGATTTCCTGTTTCCCTCTCCAGAATTCCGTAGCCTCCCTCCGGCGGTAACTCAGCTGAGCTCAGGCTGTCTGCGTTAATTGTCTGGGCTGATAGTGGATATGCATTAGTATTTTAAGTATGTACACACCTGAATATCAGATGGCAAAGGAAGGCAGAAATTTTGAGAACAATCACAAATATTATGAAACGGTGTGGGACCCACCACTTTATATTCTAAGTTGCATTTGTGGTCCTCTGTCCAGTCCTCAAGGCAGTGCTTTAGGACAGCCACTGTCTTCCACTTCCCCGAGCAGAGGAGACGGCCCTGAGACTCACAGTGTATCTGGAGACCCTCCCTCCCGCGGGGGAAGGGGTTATGTGCTGGAGGCTGGCAGCTGCCCATAGGGTCTCCGGGTCCCCTTCAAGTGGGGATGGGAGGGGGTTTAGAAACGCGGGCATCTTTAGCTGTCATGGTAAACGGGGTGGTGGTCCTTTGGTGAACGGGAGCCAGGGATACTCAGTGTATTCCAGCAAATCAGGGAGCCCTGCGCAGTCATCCTGCCCAGGCGGATCTGTGCGCCCTGGAGGGCTGCTCCACAGAAAGAGCTGCCGCTGGCAGGTGGGCGTTGAGGGAGGCTGCCTTCCCCGGTTTGGGTAGGGAAAGGCTCGCTGAGGACAGGGTGAGTGTCCCTTCCCTGAGAGCTTGGGGCTGGGAGCGTTTTAGGTTTGGGTTTTTTTTTTTTTTTTTTAAATATTTGTATATGCATTAAGCTGTCTCAGGGATGGTAACCAAATCTAAACACAAAATGCATTCATTTCCTGTTTCATCATAGCCTGAGGGCAGTTTTAGGCAGTACTTCTGTGCCTCGCTTTGACTGCATTGTCACATGAGGCCACGTGTGGGATTTTCCACTCGGGCCTTCCTGTCCGCTCGCGCGCCAGCCCTGGCTCTTGGAGCCTTCGGGTTGAGGGTTAAGGATGCTCCTCCTGTGGAGAACTTCTCAGAGCGTTTGCTCCCACCCCCCAGCCGGGAGCTCCTAAACAGGACGCACCTTAGCTGATTGTAGTGACAGATGCGTAGATTTTCCTACTTGGAGGCAGTTCAGCTACAGCAGGGCTTGGTTACTTCCAATTCCATAACTGGTTAGTGTTTCCTCCCCGCCTTGGTTCCTTTATCTGTGATGCGCCAGGGTCAGTCGAGTCCTGACGCAGCACTGTGTTCCTCCTCAACAGATCCGCACCCTGGACATCCACAGCCCTGCAGACTGCTGGGATAAATTCACCTCCAACCGGACAGTAGGAATAATCCTCTTCCTAGGAATTGTCCTCGGAAATTTGTGGAAAGAGAAGAAGACGGATGAAGCAAAGGAAAATGAAGATAGAATAAAAAATTAGCCAATAACGTTTATCTAGGAACTCTGAAAACAAACTTTTACAAAACACTCTCAGGCCTTGTAAACACATGCTTAGTTTTAAATAAACGGTGTGTTAGAATATGTCACGGAAGTAAGGACTAGAAGAGGAAGATTTAAAGTATATTTGCCTAAATTTTAATCCAGCTGTTTGCTAGCAAAGGTCTCCTGGCATGAAACCTGGGGCTCTTCAGGATTTGAAGTGACCTTTAGGACTCTTCTGCCCATTGTACTCACCTGAAGTTATGGGAAGCATATGCATTTTAGCACTTTCGAAAATCCCCCCCACTGAAAAAAACTCTGATCTGTTAATGGGGGCGTTAATCAAAATATATATGTTTAAACCCAAGATTTTGCAAAATGAATAGACACTAATGATAAAAGGAAAAAAATAAAATATTTTAATGAAAACAAGAAAAATGCATATGCTCATCTAAATGGATGTCTCTATAAGACATGGATTCTTTCTTTTTTAGGAAAAAAGCCCCGATGGAAAGTTAGAGCATGTTATTCTCTGGTGATCTTTACTCGCTGCCCAAGCTGTATTTTAGGAAGCTATTCTGATCTTTACGTTTCAGAAGAAGGTAGATAAGCATATACATGAGTGTTTTCACTTACACCGACCCCTACCACTATGGTACCGTCCATGACATTTGGTCATTCTGCTTTCTGTGTGCAGCTCCAGTGATCAGAATGAGCAACCAGGGACTGTTTCAATGTATTTATTTATTTTTTTGTCTTACTGAACTATAATTTGTAGGACAGTGTCAGATTGTCCAAGTGCGCACAGACCCTGTGGAGTGGTTCCAGCAGGGAGCGACTCTCCAGCCCTGAGTAGGGCCGCGCTGCTCCTGCCCGCGCTGCTCCTGCCCGCGCTGCGGGTGCTTCCAGCTGTTCACCCGGCCACTCCCGCGAAGCCTGAGCTTCTCCTACTGCCGCCTGCCTACCCAGCACCTCCAGCGCGCTCAGCCTCGGGACCCACCGTCGGGTGGACTCGCTCTGCCCAGGCCTGGCATTCGCTCTTCACTTCGCCTGGTGGGAATATTGTATCTTTGCTCACGGCTGTGGGCCTTTCCTTAAGTGTCACCTTCTCAAGGAGGCTTCTTAGGCATTGTGCCCAGAATCTGCACACGTCGGGGTCCCCCGCGTGCCCTGCCGCTGTGCTCCTTATTGTTTTCCTTCAGCACTTGTCACTCCGGGCCTGAAACACGTCGGCATAGGTGACGTCTGTGGACGGGCCGGAGTGGAGGCGGCAGCTGTTCCGGGTGTCAGTGGTGGCACCGGAAACACTGGCTTGGTGGTGACAGTGCCCACGGCTAGGCCAGATGCTGGGCCAATGAGCAAGCACAGGGCCCTTGCTCGGCATTAATCAGCACAATTAGGCCACGAGCGTGAGTGTGCCGACGGGGCAGCACTGCACCCTGCGCTGGAGGAGTAGAGTTGCCCTCGGGTTTGTGTTCTTAAGAGATTTCCTAAAATAGTAAGAACAGCAATAGTTAATATACTATGTACCACTATCTTCAGAATGGTTAGCGTACAAGACATGGACAAAAAAGATTCTTACAAAGAAGAAACATATGCACTATGGAAGGGCACCAGTTTTAAATTTCATGTTTTAAGCCAACTTATGAATGTAGCCTTTGCCTGGCGTGGTGGCGCATGCCTATTATCCCAGCACTCGGGAGGCTGAGGCAGGAGGATCGTTGCAAGTTCAAGTCCAGCCTGGGCTACAAAGTGAGCTCAAGGTCAGCCTGAACTGCACAGCAAGACCCTGTCTCAAAAAGCCAAAAAAAAAAAAAAAAAAACCACCCCACGAATGTAGCCTTTAATTCATGTTTTAAGCTAATTATACTTTTTAATTTTTGGAATTTAAAAACAGACTCAAGGTAACCTCTGTGTAGTCCCTACAAAAAGAAAAACAAGGTTACTACATTTTTATAAATTCCCTCCCAAGTAAAGGATAGGCTGGAGAACTAGAGGAAGGCCTGTAACTCTTGCCCTAGACTTTCCTGTCTCCCTGTGGACATAATCCTTGGCTTGATGGAGATGGACAGTCCTCTAAGTGTAAAATACCTAATTGCAAAAACTCACTCTGGAAAAAGAATGTGAAGTATTTCATTGATGTATTGATTTCAAGTTGAAATATTTTATACATCAAATACATTATTAAAATTAATTTTACCTGTGTCTTTTTAATGTGTGAGGCGAACGTGATAATCACTACCCTACGGAAACGTGTCTTTTTAATGTGACTACTAGAAAATTTTACATGGCGTCCACGGATAACTTATTTCTATGGCAGTTACTGTATGAGTTCCTTGATAGTCTGGAGCAGTGGTGGCGAACCTATGGCCAGTGAGCTGCACTGGGCGCACACAACCACGTCACCCCAGAGGCCGAGCGTCAGGTAACAGTTTATCTTCTGAACTAAAACCTCAAGGGCCGGGTGTGGTGGCTCACACCTGTAATCCCAGCACTTGGGAGGCTGAGGCGGGAGGATCCTTCCGTGTTTGAGGCCAGCCTGGGCTACAAAGTGAGCTCAAGGCCAGCCTGAACTGCATAGCGAGACCTTATCTCAAAAAGACCAAAAAAAAAAAAAAACAAAACACTAAACCCTCAGTGTTCAGGTTTAATTGCAGTGTTGGCGCTTTGGGATAAATAAGTAGGCTTGGAGTGAGAGTTAGGGCGCTCAGTCTCTAAAAGGTTCACCATCCTGCTGTAGAGACGACCTATAGAAATGACAATGTAATACAGTTCAACCTAGTCAGGCATTGTGTGTCTATATGCCAACAGTCATTGCTTAGAATACATACAAATGTTTAAGAGAAAGGAGATTGTAGAATAGATGTCCTAGAATATAACTAAGTTACTTCTTGCCATACCTGCCTTCCTCATTTCTCCTTCCCAGCTGCCTGTGGACCAGTCTACGTGTGGCTGGCCTTAAGTTCTACGCAAGCCGAAGCCAGTCTGTGTGGAGTAGCAGTACTTTCAAGCTGTCATGCCTCATCTCCTTTGGGGTAATGTCACACTGTAGGAGTAACACAGTAAGCTAGCAAACAGGAAGCAATGTTCAAATCCTCTTAAAAAAAACAAGTCCAAAGAATTGAAAAGCCAAGCAGTGGAATGCTTTGGTTGTTGCTCTTTGTACCGGGAATGGAACTCGGGACCTTGCACTTGCCGGGCAGGCGCTTGTGCCGCTGAGCTATGTCCCCGGCCCTGTGGCATATGTTTTTAAGGAATAATAGCCAGCAGTGACACAGGTGCAGCACAGCGGGCACGTTCATCCCATGGATGTGAAGGACAGTGCTCTGGACAGCACTTTGACAAAAAAAATCCTACCAGCTAGAAGGTGAACCCAGAAGCTGAGTTCTTACGTGCAGAGGACCCCCGAGGTTGGTTTGGCCAGCAGAGGTCTGGCCGGGAGCAGCGTGTGAGTGCTGGCCACAGGTGCTGGCCCAGGGGGGAATTCCTGCTGCATGAGCACAGCCGCCATCACCTCAGAGCTTGGGTTCTCTTGCTTCTGCATTAGGGGATGCCCCTGACCCTCACTGAGTCATTGACAGGGAAGTGAAATAAACTTCCCAAGCCGGGCATGGTGGCACACACCTGTAATCCCAGCACTCGGGAGGCTGAGGCAGGAGGGTCGTTGCGAGTTCGAGACCAGCCTGGGCTACAAAGTGAGCTCAAGGCCGGCCTGAACTGCATAGCGAGACCTTGTCTCAAAAAGACCTAAATAAATAAATAAATTTTCCAGAAGGGCAGCACCCACTCATTGGGTCTGTCTTGTGCTTGCGGGGAAGCCAGGTGAGGTTCGGGATGGTCTGGGATGTGGAGCTTCCAGGGACAGGGCTGCAGTGAGGTGGGTGGAGACTGGCCACCAGGGAGCATCTGTGCCGGGCACTGCCAGTGCAGCAGACGGTACCCTCCAGGGTGGGATGTCCTCCAGGGTGGGATGTCAGGCCTTAACCTGTGACCTCTTACCTTCTAACAATGGAGACCCACCGCTCTTTGCTAACTGTGTGATGTGCCCTCCAGTTCCGATTACAGGAATCTGGTGTGGTGCGTCCACTATGCCTGCAGGGGGCGCCAGGATGTCGCCAAGGGGGCCTGTTGATCCATACGTTACCCTAGGAAGAAATCCCTTAAACGTGAGGCCGTGTCCGACCAGTGGGAGCTCGGCAGCCCTTTGCCCATCCCATGGAGCCATGAAAGCTGGTGCGGTTCTCTTGATAATGGCCGGTCTGAGCTATGCTCCTTTAAGTCCTCAAGCCCAGCTCCTGTCTTATTTTTCTCGCTGGCCAGTCTTGTCTAGTTAAGTGCGCCTCTCACTGATGTGTCCCGAAATCCTTTTTCTGTGGTGAGAGACAACGAAAGTACTATGCAGGGGGAAGGTGAGGTCCCCATCTCTTTGGGGCACTTTCTCGGACCACATCCAATAACGTGGCACCCTCGTGATCTCCATCTGAATTGAGCAAAAGAACTGACCTATAATAACAGGACTTGCCTGGCTCCTGGAGGGCTACAGTCAGACACTGGTGACGTGAGGGCGCCCCAGGACCAGCAGGGAGATGGCATCCACATCTTCATGAATGCTGCCCAGGCTGGCAGCCCTGCAGAGGGGACGGACATCCAGCTACGCTTCCACAGCAGGGAGCTTGTGGCAGGCTCTACGCAGGTGGCCACCCAGCCTGAAGCCACAGGTGCCCTCGGCCCCCTCAGTGAGCGCTCAAGCCCATGCCCGTCCCCGCCTCTCCCAGCCCACTTCTCTGCCTGCCTCTGCCCAGGGAGCTTGCACCACCCTTCTCTGCCTTCCGTGTCCTAAACCAGCATGAGATTAGACTGAATCCTTTCAGCGCCAAGGTGTGAGACAACCTTTGGGTTATCTCCAAACGAGGGCATGGGACCTTCCCAGCCTAAAGGGGAACATTGAAATTCACTGTACTCCCCTCAAAAAGAATACCTCAAAACATGTTTCTTTGTATGCCTATTCCCAGGACTTAAAAGGTACCCAGCCATGGAAGAATGAAATATTAAGAGAAAACAGCATCCCACTGCTTTAAATGTCCAGTATGATTCTCTCACTAGATGCTTTTTCAGAATAAATTGAGAGATGGATGTAATAAATAGATGGATGGATGGACAGATGGATGGCCAGGTGACTAGAGAAGATCAACAGGTACATAGACATTTAGTTACTCCCCCACGCCTGCCAACATTTTAGTCACAAAATGGGGAGAACTCTCCCGTTCACCCCCTTCTCAGTGTCAGGTTAGTGTCCGTGGAGCAGAGCACCATGCATATGCCATGCCACACTGCTCGCTCTGAAGGAATAGCAGCAATCTTTGAGGGAGGTCCCACAGAGATCACCTGGTCCAGCCAGCAGATTTCCCTAGCTTTCGGTAAATAGGCAGCAGAAATAGTTTCTGTCCAAACACAATCTTATGCACAACGCAAATTATGAATACAAACCAAAGGCAGCGGCACTTCCCTTCCCGGGGGGACCCCTGCCTCCTGAACTTCCCTTTCTTCTGGGATTCACAGGACCCAGCTGATTTTGTGTATAAGGAAACTACAGCCTGGAGAAATAATTGAATCAAATCAAAACAAGTTATGGCCGTGTGAGAACTGTAAAAGCAATGAACATACAAGTCTATGCAGTTACTAGTTGTACAGTAAACTCCTTGTGGTCGATTAACTAATGGTCAACTTGTAACACTCAGCTGAACTGAGTCAGTGTGGTTTTGGGTGCGGAAGGCCCGCCTGAGGATTGTTGCCAACAGCATAAAAGCAGAACTGGAGGGGAAGATGGTGTGCATTGATTCTCCTGGAGAAGCTTGTTGTGCTGGTTTTCCTGATACGAACTCAGCTGTTTTCATCATCTGAGGAGCTTGGGTCCTCACGGTCACTGAGGATGGCTGCAGTTCTCTTCGAGGGAGCTCTGGGTCTTACCTTGAGAGTTGCTTCCTGGCTCCAGTGCAGATCTCTCAGCCGGCTGGCACAGATCCTTCACCTCCTTTCTATACGCCACTGGCCTTTGGGCCTTCCCAGTGTAGATCCTTGACACAGACTTGCATGAGATGTCATGGGCTCTAGGCCTCCAGCTGGACTCATGGTGGGCATCGCCATGGGCTCTAGGTCTTCAGCTGGACTCGTGCAAGACTTTGCTGTGGGATCCAGGCCCTCCGCTGAATTCTTTGGGTCTCTGATGTGTGGACAGATCTCTTGCACTCTTCTGCATCTGACTTTTTGGGTGAATATTATAAAATAATCCTATAAATTGTGTCTCACAAGCCCTGACTACAATATTCCTTATATCTCCAAAGCCTCTATTTGGACCTTGTAAGGAACCACTCAGACTGCTTCAAAGCTCAGGGTCATCTAAGGACACCTGAGGACGTGACCCCACTTGTCTAGCACAGGTGCACAGTGGGATACAGTTATGTAACCATGATTTAGCACAGGTAAACATGCTCATGCTGG